AACTCATGTTGAATTGGCTTGAGCTTCTTAGTGCTGTGCTTTAACCCGCTGCGCCACCAGGGAGGGCCCCCAGTAGCTATTTTTTAAGGGTTAATCAGAGCTGGCATTTAGCAGAGATCCAAGATGGTGAAGGAGGGAACAATGTAGCTATCTGGGAAAGTATTTTCCAAACAGATTTTTCAAATATAGTAAAACTGGTAACAGGAGCCTACTTAAATTTTCAAGGACCGTGTGCAGCAAAGGTACTGTGGCTGTGATGCAAGCAAAAAGGATAATAGGAGACAAGAAAGAACTTTTGTTTTAATCTGTATAAAATAAGAAATCGTTAAAAGGTTTAGAGCAGAAGAATGATGTGATCTGAGTCATGTTTTCAGAGTCACTGTGGCTGCTGTATAGGGAATAGACTAGGGCAGAACAGAAACAGAAAAGCAAGTTTGGTGGTATTTTAGGTTAGCATGACAAGTAACTGAGTTCTAGGTATATTTTGAGATGAGCTGCATATTTGATATAGGTAAAAGAGAAGAACAACTTCAGGAATTTGGGGCCAGGCAACCTGAAGGCTGGAATTACCATTTGATAAAGATGGGGGAATAGGATAGGAGGATGGGCGATCGGAGAGAGCAGTTCACCTTTCGGCATGTTGCATTCCATGTCACTTTCATTGTCAGCATATATTCCACAGATGGTGCTTAAAATAATGAGATCCGGTGAAATTTCAAATGAAGGAGGGCTAGAACTGATCCCAGGATACTATTATCGGTGAGTGTGAAGGTGAGAAATTAACCAAGGAGCCAGATACAGACGGTAGTGGGGAGAAAAATAAAGAGAAACTGCATGTGATATGCTGGAATTCGAGTGAAACTGAAAAAAGCCATGTCACAAAGGAAATGAATGATGAAGCCAATAATGACAGTGTTCAAAGAGAGGGGCAGTCATCAGTCCTATCGAATGCAGCTGCTGACTCAAGATTAGGCCTGAGCACTGGCCACTGGAATCACCAGTGCCACATTCCTGAAGATTTGGCAAGCTATAGTGGGAGTGGAAAGATGCCAAGTCTGACTACAAGAGGAATGGTGAAGAAAGAAATGGATTACAGGATAATTTTCTTTTAATTTCCTATAAAGTAGAATGGAGAAATGGGAGAAGAGCTGCAATGCAATTTCAGGCTAAGAAGGCATTTTTTAAGATATATATAAGAAACTACAGCATGTGTAGAAATGGACAGGAATACCCTCATAAAGACAATTTTGATGAAATAAAATTAGTACACTTGGCAAAAATGAATGACAAACTTCATGATTTCATTGCCAAACAAGCCAAGTTGTCACTCAGGAATCATTTTTACCTGAAAAAAACACAACTGTTGCTGCAAGTAGAGCATATTCAGTATGAGTAATATTAAGCTCACTCATTCTTTTGTAGAAGTAGAACAGTGTAGTAATAAATTCCTCAGCAATCCCTAAAAGAGATTAATATCAAATGCATTTTCATCAGTCCATAATGTTGCCCATGACCTTTTATTCTCAAAGCAGGTTAAGAAAATGAAATCACAGATCTGACCAATCTTTTCCACCCAATAGTTTGGAATGGACATATTACCTGTCAGCCCAGCTGAAGGACAACCTTCGTTTACAAAATATTTCCGTAGAATAAATAACACTTGTCTCACCACTTTGACTGTGCAAATTCAGTGAATGAGCTGAATGATCTGATATTTTTTTCTAAATCTTTGTATAGATAATAAATGCAACCTCTCTAATCTCTGTTAGGAAACATTCCCAACAAGTGGTAGCTTTAAAGCTGTTATTACGAAGGGCCCACTTGGTGGCACAGGGGTTAAACTCTCAGTGCTATCCAGCTGAATGTCAGCGACTGTGGGATGAGTTCAATCCCCTGCCAGCGAGTGACCCACAGGGCGCAGCAGACCTCTCCTGTCCAGCCCCCTGCTCCCCTCAGCAGTGATTCAGTAGATCTGCTCCCCACTTCGTCTCTGGTGAACCTTCTCACCCCCTACATCTCTGGCCTACACCCCAGTTCTTATATGCATAAGTAAGTAAGATAAACCTTAAAAAAATAAAAGACTGAGTTAATTGACCTTTTTCATGTTCAGCAGTTGATGAAAGACATTTTTTCTGACTATAAAGTTGGGCCACGTGAAGGAACATCACTTCTATTTTTGATTCCTTCCATAATGTGGTCTGATCCTCTTCGGTTAAATTTTCAAATCCTTTAAGAAAATATAACATAGTTGCTTGAAATATTTAGCTGACGAAAAGATAATTTTCAGGTGTAGAATTTTAATAATATCATTTAATAATGTCATTTGAATACTTTAAAATATATTCATTTTTCCTGATTAAAGTTGATAAAATAAACATGTTTTTGCATTTAGAAGCAGTTTGATAGCAAAATAGAGGTTGTTTTCTTAAAATGTTCACTTCCTTTAAAACAAGAAACTTTTGGGGCCTCCCCGGTAGCCTAGGGGTTAAGCCTCAATGCTACCACCACTGCAACCTGAGTTCAATCCCCGGTCAGGGAACTGATTCACATGGCACAGCAGACCTCTCCTGTCTTACTTGCTGTTCCCCTCAGCAGTGAATTTCAGTAGATCTGCTGTTCTGCTCCCTAGTCTGTCTCTGGTGGGTCTTCTCAAGCCCTGTGCCTCTACATCCAAAAATAAAATAAGGAACTTTCTTCAAATTAAGGAATCTAGGTGGATGTGATGCTACTTATATTTCTGAATCATATGTAAAGTTGTATATTAATGTTAGCTCAATAAAAAAATATTTAAAATAAATAAAGCTTTAAACGAATTCTTCCCAAAAGTGAAATGCTTACCTGGGAGACCCTTGGTAAAATCCATGAACCCCTGGATGTGCAGTGCGACTGTCTCTGAGAGTTGTAAAAAGCTCACTTCGGGATTTGCATGTCCCTGAAGCTAATCAACACAAAGAAATGATAAATGAGCCTTACTTCCTTGCAAATAGCCACTTAAAATTTAAACTTTTGGCCCTCCCTGGTGGCACAGCACTAAGAAGCTAAAGCCACGTCAGCCTGAGTTCGATCCCCACCCAGAGGTGACCCCCATGGCGCGGCAGACCTCGCCCAGCCCACCTGCTGCGCCCCTCAGCAGTGGACTTCGTCAGTCGGGCTGTTCTGCTCCCCACTATGTCTCTGGTGAAGCCTCTCACTGCCCCTGCACCTCTGGCCTGTACCCCAGTTCTATATGCATAAATAAATTTTTTTTTATTTTAACTCTTAAGTTTATGCTCCTCTTCTCTAACAGAATTATAAATGAATTCTTGCCACCAAGGAACACATACAAATTTCTCTGTTTCTTCTGAAGGAATTGTGTATTTCTGATGAGCAACTACAATGTTGTTAATGAGCTGATATTCCTCTTGAGTTAGTTCCAGGCTTTCCTGAATCTGAAAGAAAATATAAGGGGAAAATGAGAATACACACTTATTAAACAAAGCATCATCATTATAGAAAAAGAAACGTTATGAGAAAAGCCTCAGCACTTTTCCAGATCTAGTGATAGATGATACCAGCTTGTCTGCTACCTCCTTTTCCCCTCTGATGGTAGAGTAGCAGTGATTCTGCTTAAAGTTCTTTCGAAGTCTCTTGGATTTGCACTGGATTTCTGAGAGCAAACCTGTGATATTACAAAAGGCAGATGAAATATTTTAGGCACAGCAAATAAGATTATATGGTTTGAAGAAATTTTTCTCATTTTGTACAAATATATGACCTGTCTTTGTTTACAAAGAACTCTTTCTAAAGCAACTACGTACACAATTAAATTTACTACACTACTTTCTCCTTCTCTTTTGACAATTATCTGCTTAAAACTATATGGTCATCTTAAACATAAATTAAAATTTTATTTTTAATCTCCAATTATAAAGTTAGACCTTTTTATTAGAAAAATGCCCATATTTTATCTTGGAAGCAACATAGAATATCAAAGGGCCCAGGAGTTGAACAACCTTACCTAAGGGTTTTAACTTCGTTTTTAAAACATGAGATCAGAAATATATCTTGAGATTCTTTAAATGAGTTAAGTTCTTTTCTTACAAAACAAGACAAAGGTATTTTGTTATAGCAGTCCAAGCTGATAGGATTCAGGTTAATTGTAAGGTAACCTTAAAAATCTGTTCTGATCCCAGAATTTAATATATTAGGAATTATTTTGGTAAAAAAAATTTTGAAGGGTTTGAATTTTATCATAATAAGCATAATAAGCCTAAGTATAATATAAGCAAAACATTGCATTGCAAGAATATATTGAATAATGCAATATTATTGAACAGGAGTAAACCAAAATTGAAAGAGATTATTACAGTAGGTGAAAATAGATGGAAGTAATATGAGAAAAAGTACTACTGGTCGTGAAATTAATATAATGATGATGTAAATGCAAGATAATAAAAGTTTCTGTACGGCTAGATTAGATGTGAAAAGAAAAATTAGCATACTCTATAAAGAAAAAACAAATGTTTAAATTACTGTCAGCTTTTGAACCCTGGGGAATAGGAGGAATTGAAGAAAGAATGCCAAAATCTTAGTATTACTGTGATAGCACGTAATTTATATGCTAAAAAAAAACACAATGACCAGAGAAGGAAACTTAGGTACTAATCTGCCACTTAGCTGGGTTTAACACCTATGTGTTTTTAGTCTCCACAACCCAGGTACACTTCTAAAGCTACAAGACAGAAAAAGAGGAAGGATTAGCCCAAATTCTGTTCTTTCTAGATCATGACGTAACTTTGGATTAAGAATGTGTAAAGGGTTGTCAATTAAAAGTAAAAATATGATTATTCACAAAGTTAGAGCAATGCAGGATTAGAATAAGGTATGAAGAAATACTTACCTACATTGGTAACTGTTCTAATTTAACAGCCACTAGACAAACAACTTGATTCCACAAATGTATATTGATGTTCAAAATGATAACATGAATAGAATGTATTAAATTCTGAAAAAGGTAAGGAAAACTAAAATCCTTCTCAAAAAACATAGTGGCACTTACATTCTGCCAACATTCCTACGGCCTTACACTTCTTCAGTCTGCACTCTTGACACTTCCTACGCATGTACATATCCATTTCACAGTGACCACCATTCTTGCACCTATATACAGCATTTTTGGTGATGCTACGACGAAAAAAACCTAATAAAAAAGTTTTTAATTTTAGGTATGTTTATCATTTGTGGTTTTTATTCACACATACTTCATATTAAAGTAATCAACTAAATTATTTCGATAAAATATCTTTCCTTTGGTTTTTAATGTCTATCCAGATAACTGTATTAATCCTCACTTCTGTTAATATGTCTGTCTCAAGGTTCTTCTTTTCAATAACTTTTGGAAAGTGAACTAAATTAAATAGCTCCATCATACCAAGAAGATTCTACTACATGGTCATAGCATTTAAAAACATTTTTGTGAAATTAGGGCTCTCCCTGGTGGCGCGAAAGGTTAAAGCACCACATTTTGAAGTTCTCCCAAGCCACTGCAGCATGAATTTGATCCCCAGCCCATATGACCCATATGGCATGGCAGACCTCTCCTGACCCACCTGCAGCTCCCCTCAGCAGTGTACTTTGTCAGTCTGCCTGTTCTGCTTCCCACTCTGTCTCTGGTGAATTATCTCACCCACCACACCTCTGGCCTGTACCTCCGTTCTGTAAACATAAATAAATAAATCTTAAAAAAAATATTGTGAGCCCTCCCTGGTGCAACGGTTTAAAGCACAGCACTATGAAGTTGTCTGCAGCCACTGCGGCACGAGTTCAATCCCTGGCCAGCATTGTGAAATCACACAAATACTTTCCCAGCTACTCATTAAATAGGTAATTCGTTTAGTGTGGGCTTTAGCTATTCTGTGCAAGGTTGAGTTGTGAGATTTCAACAATAAAACCTCACACTGAATTTCTACCCAGTATATATATATATAGGTCTAATCATTTCCAGGTTCCATTCCAATACCAGGTTTGTGAATAAAAACAACACAGAAATGTTCCAAATTGCATAAAGATTTTACTCTTTGAAAATGCCATTGCTAAGAGTGATATCCACGTGCAGACCTCCCATTTGTTTTCAAAAAAAGCATTCCAGATAAGACTTTCAGAAGTCATTTAGGTTCAACTTCCTAATGCATGAATTTTTATCAAGCATCTGAGAAGATGTAATGCATAATATTCAGATCATCCTAAAGGTTGTTTTCTACTCCAACATAAGATTCATCTAAAAAAAAGTAGAAAACTTCTGCTAAATAAACATTGAATTTTATTTAAATATATAAATGAGTCTATATATTTATTTGAATTTATAAATATATTTGTTTATGTGTTATATTAATTATTTATATAAATATGTTTCTTAGATGTTATAATTATTTAACATGTTTTATATTAATAAAATATATAAATGTATTTACTTAAGTAAATTAAAGTTGGATCAAAAGTGAAATTAAAATTGAATCAAATTTTCTTACGTTCCATTTTCATGTCTTTGAGCCAATGAACTGACTAACTTAATATATCAATGACTCTCCCTTGTTTTATATTTTCACATTTTAAATAATTAGAACACTTTTACATGCTTAAAGACTTATGACTCTCCAGTGAACACTGAGATTTCAGGCATTTTAAGGTTACCCTTACCTTTGCAACCTTCACAAGTAAGTGCATTATAATGATATCCTGAGGCTTTATCTCCACAAACTACACAGAGTTCTTCCTGTCCCTTAATTCGTATGGAAGAATGACTGAGTCTGCACCTCTTTGTTCTGGGGTATCCATCTTCAGCATCCAGGGCAACCACATAAGTAGGTTTATTTAGTTCACAATAACCAAGTCCATACTCTCCACCACTGAGTTGTAAATCCAAGCTGTAAGTGTTGAAATGCCTTTGTAAGGATGGTGACGGTACAGCTGAAGGAAACTGGACAGTAGAATATTGGCAATAAGGTGATTCTTGGAAATCAGTGTCATGCATCTGATAGTTGATTTGCTCTGGCAAAATATCTAGTTTAAAAAAAAAAAGAAGAAAAAACACATAGCCAAAAGTCAAAATTTCCAAATTGTTCTTTTAAAAAAAAAAAAAAAAGATTTATTTACTTATGCATACAGAATTGGGGTATAGGCCAGAGGTGCAGGGGCAGTGAGAGGCTTCACCAGAGACAGAGTGGGGAGCAGAACAGGCATATCAACAAAGTACACTGCTGAGGGGAGCAGTAGGCGAGACAGGAGAGGTCTGCTGAGCCATGTGGGTCTCTTCAGAGCTGGGGGTCGAACTCTCACTGAGGCGACTGTGGCTAGCCTTCAGGGCTGTGTCCTAACCCATTGCACCACCAGGGAGGGCCTCATAATTCTTCTCCAATGTCAAAGAGCCTTATGCCTAACAAATAGAGGTAGTTCAATATATCACCTCTATACCAGGGACTTGCTGTCCAACATGAGAGACAGACAGTAAATTGAATCGCAATGCATGAAAAGTGCTGCCTTCCCAGAGGTAGGGAGAGGTTACTCAGGAGCTGGGGAAAAGGGCAATAATTGCTACTGGCTCCCTGCCAACCCAGTGTCCCTTCTTAAACACAAATGATGATCACCCAGAGTTTGGAATGGAAGAACGTGTTCTGCATGGCTCTTGTTATGGGTCACTACTTTCAATGCATCAGTTCCATAGAAAAATGAATGAATAAATCATCCCACCCACCCCCAAACTGAAGTACAGTTTGACAGCTATCTGTTTATTCCAAGCAAGGTATCTTTTTGAAAAACATCTTAACATCATATACTCCTTTGCTATTTGCTGATTTAAATTACTAGATTTTGTTTGTTCCTTTTGTTGTCTATCAATTACCTGGAGGTATGTTCACCTACCCCATAGGGTTACTATAAGAATGAAACAAAATATGGTGTGCAAAAGCAGATAAACTATACAAGGAGACTTGATCATTACTAAGAGCTCCAAAAGAGCAGCTTACTTTTACTTTTGCTTTCTGGAGAATTACTAATTCTAAATTCAGAGAACTGACTCCAAAATGATCAAGGAATACTTAATTGTTCTGCATCTTTAACTAGTAATATTTGTGGTTTTTATGGTTTTGAATCACCAGATGAGACTTACTCTGACCCTCAAATCCACCATCAAAATTTGATAGACAATATACTTTTTATTCCTTTTGCAATCTTATAGCATCCTGTCCAATGTAAACCTGTATATAAGGTTGATCTATTCAAATAGAAGAAGAGCCTAATTAAGAAAGAGTGCTAGTAGAAGCAGTGTAACTTTTTTGTTAAAGACGACCCTTTTTGGAGTACTGTCAAAAGACTGAAGAATACCAGCTGATGTCCATTGACATGAAAATTGGAGTTCAAATTAAAAGAAAATTGCATTTAAAATTAAACTTACATTATAACCTTATTCTTTTTGGAGAAAATTCCTATTGCCTGATGCATTCTGATTTATATTTCCTTTCCTTTGCCAGAAATCTTATATTAAGATAAAAACGTTCAAGTATATTGAATAGCTCCTCTGAGATACATTTACTAAATTGCAACTGAATCAGCATCAGCTAGCTCCTAAGAATAACTGCAATTAGTATGTTAATTCTACTTTTAAATCAATATAATTTTAAATTATTGTGTTTTTCCTTCTTTATATTTGATTCTGTATTACATTTAGTATGACTGATTTTTTAAATTAATTATATTCTTTTCTAAGGAATATAAGGTCTTTAGTTCATAGCCATTTTTTAATCTCTGCAATTAATCATAATTCAAGAAAGTTCTGCTCCCCACTCTATAATATTAACTATTATACAGTAAGTTTTTGTTACATACCATAGTACTGGTCCTGTTCGGCAAGACAGTAGCCATCAGAAGCAGTGGCATAAGTATTTGCCATTCTTTGGTCAAATTTTACTTCTTCATCAGAGGATGCTGAAACAGAACGTAAAGAAAACAAATTTTTAGACTATTTGGAAGTATAATTATCAAATCAGTGTAATCTTTCAAAGGCACATTATTGTTTTTGAAAAACAACATAGCAGAATTTATATGAGATATTTGTATTTATACTTTAACTGGAAAATATTGATTTTTCATCTCTACCCCACCAATGACTTAATTCTGCCAAATTCTTATTGTTCAGTTCCTTACAAATAATAAACCTGAAATAATCACCGTAGCTCTTGAAACTACAAATCTTCATAAAATACTTTTACCAACTTTTTTTTTTTTAAGATTTATTTATTTATACATACAGAACTGGAATACAGGCCAGAGGTGCAGGGGCGGTGTGAGGATTCACCAGAGACAGAGTGGGGAGCAGAACAGGCAGATCCACAAAGTACACCGCTGAGAGGAGCAGCAGCGGAGACAGGAGAGGTCTGCCGCGCCACGTGGATCACCTACCAGGCCAGGGATCCAACTCGATTAAAGTGGCTGTGGCCAGCTTGCAATGCTGCATCCTAACCTGTTGTGCCACCAGGGAAGGCCCTTACCAACATGTTTATGGGTCTTTTATCAAAACTCTCTTGCTCTCAGTTTCCTCATTTGCAGAGAAATAGTAAAACACCCCTACCAAAGTTATTGGAGATTAATATATATATATATTAATATAATATAATAATGAATATAATATTATATATATATACACATATAAATCCAAGACAGCTCTTGACTTAATAACTGATTCCCATAATTGTTGTTCTAGTAGTTTCAGGATTTCAGTGTTTAAAATTAAGATAGAACTGGGAAGAAAAATTAGACTTTTCATGAAGGAAAGTAAAGAAAGGATGACTTTCATAGCACTTTTTTAAATAATCGAAATCTGTTGTAAATATTTTCCACAGCACTGTGATATGCTACATATTAAGATTAATTTCAGTTCTGCTTATCTAGTAAAAGTAGTTTGTTGACTACTGAAAGAACTTCATGTTTAATACTAACACCCAAAATCATAAGCTGATTTGAGAAAATTATTCAAAAATCTAAGATTATCCTTTGTGGGAAAAACTATTAATTTTTGTTATGTCCTAGGAAGGAACTCTTAAAAACAGTGTATCTTTGAATAGAATTAAACAGGAAATTACAGTTTAAGAAATTGGAAGTTATCAAGAGAAAATAAAGGTCATTCTAGATTCCACCCTATTTTATAGTTTCATCCTTCCTGTGAAAAGATAAAAACTGCTTTCCCCTTTTAAAAAAACAAAAAAAAAAGTGTTTTAAATCATGCCAAAAGATATACACAAGACAAATATTTGAGAGAACATCTGCAATTAAGATTTCACTATAAAAATAAAGATGATTCAAATAGTAATGGCTCTGAATGCACCCCCTTTATCATCTAATAAGACCTAGGTTCTTTAAAAAGTATTGAATCTTTCATTCTTCTGATAACAGAGCAGCAGTTGCAAAGAATATTGGATGGGATCAAAAGTGGTGCCCCCACTAAGTACAACTTCCATATTAAGTTCTCCTTGAAAGCAAGGACTAACATCAATAGAACTGTCCAGTGTGTACTTCTGATTTCCATGTATTACAACAGGTCAAACTGTATATTCATATAAAAGGAATTTTGGATGTCATTGCTTTACTTTGTGTGCTAGTTTTCAGCAATAACCCTGTTTAGTTCTTGTCAATTTTCACTTTTGAGTCTTAATTCTACTTTAGAAACATGTTAGTGAATGTGAAAACTTGAAGTGGTTATTCATTCTTCTTTTTAAATTGCTGCTTTTACCATTAAGATTCATATATTTGAAGACTGAAAGTCAAAAGGTATTTGATACAGGCTAGACAGAGTGACAGTTCATATGAGAAATATAACAAAAAACAAACCATATGTAGCAAATTGCAGCAAAATTGCTAATATCCTGCCATAAATACCTTATGATAGGGCCACTGTCGGGGTTCACATCCTAAGTAACTATGCTCTAAAACCAAGTCTTTCCAATACTGACAATTGCCCAAAAATATTGTCTAAAATAGACCTTTATAAAACGGTTATAAATTATTTCTACTCCAGGGTATATATATAAATAATATCTATATTAATAAGTCAATAAGATAAATATATAAAAAACCAACAAGATAAATATAAATATATGTTCCTAGTAATAGCATTTTCTACAGAAAATGTTTCACTAGTCAAATTTTTCTTCAGACATCTAAATTCTTAATAGAAATATTACAATATTCATGCATGCATAGTAAAATAAAACTTTCAGAGATAAATCAATCATAAAATTAATCTTGTTTAAAAAGATGTCATTATTCATACAAAAACCAGCATATGGACCAGAGGTGTGGGTGGTAAGAGGAATCACCAGACACAGACTGGGGATCAGAACAGGCAGATCTACTGAAAAAAGCAGCTGAGGGGAGACAGGGGAGGTCTGCCTGCCTTAGGGGACAGCTCCCTGTCCCAGGATCAAACTCATGCTGCTATGGCTGTAATAGCTTAATAAACTGAGTCTTAACCCATTGTGCCCCCAGGAAGGCAGATCTCTGCTGTCTCGCCTGTTGCCCCCCTAAGCACTATATTTCAGTAGATCCCTCTGTTCTGCTCACTATGTTCTCTCTCGTGAATCCATTCACACACACCACATTTCTGGCCTATACTCCCGTTCATATATGCATAAATAAATAAATCTTTAAAAAATCATTGATTCCTGAATTAAAGATTTCTTGTGTAATATGTCACCTGAAGTATAAGTTATATATTGCATAAAATTGATATAACTGAAAAGGAAGTTGTTTCACAAGAAAAATCATTTTCATTTGCATAGTAGCCTCTCATAAAAATCAAAGAATGCCCGCAGGGATTATAATTGAGATGGAAAAAAAATGTACAAAATGATGTAAAAATAAACTTTTGTAATAAAAAAAATCAAAGAATGACAGTGATATGTAATGTTAATTATTAAAAGTTTTTCCAATAGGACTTCTAAAACTATTGGAACCAGGGAAAATGAAAAAATACATATGTGAATGACTCCACAAGTTAAGTCTTCCTGATTCTTTTATAAGAATTTATTATTTAACAATACAGGGAAGACTACATTTCTTCACATACAGTTTTACTATACAATTTAAGTGATGTAATTTACACACATAAAGAGTACAATCTGAAACTTAAGTGTTGAAAACCAAAGTTACCTCCCTTAAAATTTTGTCACAAAAAAAGTACAATTCTATGGTTTTTAGAATATTTTCAGTGTGCAACTATCACTACCATCAAATCCAGAACATTGTTAATCCCCCAGATGAAATCCCACATGTATAGCCAGACAACTCCCTTCCCTGATCCCCCAGCCCAACAACTATTTATCACCTTTCTCAGGAACTCCCCATGCTAAACATTTCATGTAAATGGATTATACATGTCCATGTGCACTTTTAAGTGAAGAAAGTAACATGTCAAGTAATTTTCACAGCTAGAAGTAGCTAGAAAGGGGCAATAGATGAAATACTTAGAAAATCCACAACTATAAAATTAATAGTGTGTATTACCTAGATTTAGAACTATATTTTGTGTTGATTTCCATAATAAGGAATATCATAGCATTTTAAGCAGAGATATAATTTTTTCAAGTGTCTCTAGAAATTGAAATTGAAAGTTGCTTTAAATATGTATATAAACCATTGTTTCAAAAAATAACATATATTCCAGCATACATTCTTGATTTAAAAGCAAGTATCATTTTAAATACACAACAGTAAAAGTCACTGTGAAGGGACGTACATAATAATGTCAAATGCCAACTCAGGTCAATTGCAGTCCGAAATTGCCTTATCAGTCTTTAGCAGAGAACCAAATTACTGTCTAATCTACTTTAGTCAGTTAAATTTCCTAGTTTCAAGGGGGAAATGCTTTTTAGAGTCTGACTATCATAATAAAACTGGTTAATTTGCAATGCAAAAACTAAATGACAGTGGAAACTAAAGATCTCAAAAATCCTTTATAAAACATTTTATAATTTAATCATAGTTTAAAGTAAATTACAAACAAAATCAACACATATTTAACTTTGTATAAAATTCTTAGAGGAGACAAATACTCACTCACCGTTCAACATTACTATAGGTTGTCCTTTCCCACACAGAATGAATATAGATAGATTTAACAATGTTACTTCAACTTTCCAACTAGAGTGAACTGTCTTCTCCCTATTTATCAGGGGTGGAGCAGAGGGCAAGCTGCATAGACTTAAGTTCCAGACACTCTGCAGAGCAATGCTTCGGCTCTATCTCAGAGGCAAACTTCCCACACAATCCTCTCTTGGGTCAAAATGAGGGCACTTACAGATGACATAAATCAAAAAATAACCAGATCACAAGGGATAGAGGCCTTTGGAAACCACAGGTCACACTCCTCCAAAGTCCCTGATTGTTTACTTAATAAATATTTTGCTGTGTTGATTGAAGTTGACATTATCCCATTTTGGTTACAAAACAGTGGGTCTCTACCCACTGTATGAGTAGAACATACAGGGAAAAAAAATTAACTCAAGCTCCACTAATATGTCGATATAACAATTCAACTTGAAACTCATCTTCCATTACCTACACGAAAGAATTTGTTAAGCCAACTGGAAATGTGAATACTAATTCACAGACTGGTACAATGTTCAATGTATACTACCCTTTCATATTATGGCATACAAAAATCTGCAACTTAAGTAGATCAATGATATGAAGTAGACAATAAGAAGTTCTCACAGCTTGTAAATAGCAGGGATGAAACTCTGACAGGGCAAGCAGCTGAGCAGGGCACGTAAGTAACTTCATCATTGCTTGTTTTATATCATTTACATAAACGAAGTCTGTTGGATACCAGCACAGAGTCTCATCCCTTTAAGGCCTTTCTAAGGAAGCAGGTTTCCAAACACGTTCTGCCTTGAA